TTGCATACATATTATTATGATTGTATTATTAAATAATATACTATTTTTCAATAGACATGAAAATAAAATTTTTGAAATGCTGATAATTTAAATTTAAATTATTTGTAAATAAAATAATTTTTTTAAGTAAAATAATATATTTTCATATTAAGATTCTCGTAGACATAACATTCATTTTTAAAAAAAATCAAAAAAATAAAATTTCTATATATATTTTAACTTTATGAAATATATTTAAATTAAATCAAAATGGTACATTATTTGGATTAATATGAATCTCGAATAAGTGAAATTTAAATAATTTTATTTCTATTTAATCTCAAAAATCAGAAAAATTTCATACATTTGAAAAAATTTCCATAATTTCATGATTTTGAATGGTTTATAATGTTTTTACATATGATAGTTTCTGCTGTAGAAAAGTTTGTTGAAAAAATAAAATAATCAATTAAAAAATGCAAGTCTGATTAAAAATATTAATATATTGAATCTCTGTAGTTTTATTTTTCAAACAGTTTTTGCTATGCAAACAATTGGTTTTAAAAACTTTTTCAACTTAAATTGTAAAAAAAATCATATCCTTTGCTTGTAATGTAGTTGTTTTTATTTCAAAGAGATTTGAATTGTGTTATTTATACCTTAATGCTGATTCTTATATTTTACGATTCATATGTGTTGAATGAAAGAGTTTTTTTTATTTCAATTTTGAAAATAATTATGGATCAGTTCAAGATTTTACTACTAATTAGTGATAATTCTACACGTTAGTGATTTTTTCAATATCAGTCACATCAACATATGGAAAGTTATCATCGTACTCATGTGTTTCATTTAAATTTTATTTTGATTTTTAATTTCTGTATTAAATTTAATCATCTGGAGATTATCGTTAATACTTTTATACATTATACACATTTTATCATAAAAAAGCACGCAAATGATAATGCATAGGACATTTCAGAATATCATGATAAATTTTGGAGAGTCACACAACGGAGTTATCAAAAAACCTATATTGTTCTTCATATCATCAATGAAATAAGTATTGTAAGAAAGTTAATGAATTATTGCATCCAAATCTATCTCTAGACGATTACATATTAAAGAGAACATATGAATTTTATTAAGACATGGTATCTTGGTGCCTAACGGTTTTTATATAGGTAAGTGTCTTCTCCTCACTCGGAAAGTGTTCTTTTGGGAATCTACTTACAGTTTGAAGTTGCTGTCATGGAACAGTCCAATATAATAGTGACCTTTTCAACAGCACTCCGGCCAATGTGAAGACACACGTGCGAATCAAACGAGAGAGTCATTCAGCAATGGACACAATAGAAAAACATCCTTTAGCAGGGTACGAGAAGGTAGTTTCCTGTTGTGAGCATGTGTGTAAGCATCTGATGAACGAATCAAGGTTGGACGACAAGATAATGCTAAAATCCTACACATTTGCGTAATTCTTATGCAGGTACGGCACTAGGATCCATTATTACAATATGTAACTCGAGTAGATTTCTTCCAAAAGAATATGTGATATCATATTATGATAAACCTTTCGATTGTGTAGCTAGTGAAAGACAATAATCCGATCAAGTTTGGAAAATACGTAGGAGCTACAGGTATAGAGTTTCATATCGTCCGGTTTACATTCCATCCGCAATCATTTCAGCTGCCCAGGCTGCTAACCTCCACTCGAGCACGAAACAAGATGGTGAATCTTTCCGAGACATTCCGATGTGTGTCTTCGAGCGCCCTATGAACTGGTTCTACATTGCGTACTTCATGATGGGTGCCCATAAGAGTGTCTACTCCAATACGTTGACGAAAGCCTTGATATATTCAAGCTTTTCAGAAGTAAGGAATTCCTTTGTTAGTAATGACTGCATGAAAAGTTATTATGTTTAGACATATATTTCATTCTATTTTATGCACAATGTCATTCATATCGTAGAGTTAAGATCACAAGTTTCATACACAAATATCTTCAAGATCTTTTCCAAATTTTATTACTCGGAACTGTTTCATGTAGTTATATAAGTACATAGGAGATATCATTGATAGTTAGTCTAGTGTGTTACATGTTAATTTTCTTCTTGTAATTATTACATGAAGGGGTTTTATCTCTGATATCTTATTTTGTGATTTTTATTTTTCATTCATTATCGTTTAAATGTCCACCAGAAGTTTTGTCCAAACAAGCATAGAGTTACTTCAACATGAGCTTGAAAAGGAGTTATTACATGTGATACATATTGAGAAAGGTCGGTGGATATTTGTCAAGCCTTGTATTTTATGATGTCTTTATATATGATAACTTACAAATTGAAGTAGTATCGGTTGGGTCCAAGGCAGACTTTGTAATTGATGTTTTTACGAAGAGATCAAAATGTGATGTTTGTACTCCAGAAGTTCGTCCACCTAGTTTATTGTAGTTATCATGTATATTTGTTATTGAAAAAAATCTTATATTTGAGGAGCATGTTAATGAATTGGATACAAGTCTTTTTTCCTTGTTCTTATGTTCTATAAGAACCTAAGATTAAGACAAATCTTTTGAAAGAAACCTATTATTTGGATATGAAAGAATCAAGTTTATATTGCAAAAGTGAGAATGGTTAGTAAGTGTGTATTTATTCATACTCTTGGAAGATCAACCGATGTAAAGATTCGATCAACATCTCCAAGTATGTAGAAGTAGATTTTTTTGTTACCAAGGACTTGGTGAAATGGAAGGTTAGACTCAAACTTTGACAGGTTAGTTTAATATACTAGATGATATGGAATTTCACTCATTTGAATTGGTTGAGTGTAGTACAGTAACATGTCTTCACTGTTATACGTTGAACATTAACTCATGCAATCGATAAAAAAATATGACTTGAATTGATGACTTTTAGCATCCTTCTTTTATTACTAATCATTTGAGGTCGGATATATTAAATAAAATAGTACATTTTTCTCAATTTAATGGTATTAGTGTCTCACTCCTATGTGAACTTGTTGTTTTTTTTCTTCAAATACCTTTGCTTATTTTACTTTCTCTTTCATTGTGGGACATATCTATTCAACCATCATAACTGACGTGTATCTCGAAGAATACACCGGGAAGCAGGCAGGCTATTGTTCTCAGCAGTAAAATACTCTGTACCAGCTTTCCTATTCGGTACAAAAATAACAGAAAATTAATCTTACCGCAATAACGACCTCAAAGCCTGCAAAGCTGATGATAATGCCTGGAAAGAGACGGGGCACGGGAAGATCCAGCTATGGCATATGTGAGGGGAAATTTTGTTTTTAAAGTATCGAGAAAGGTGTCTTACAAGTGCATTTTTTTTGCCAGTCGTATCACCTCAATCAGGAGGTAATAATAGCTACAGGACGAAATCATTCATCTCTCGATGTTTTAGAGCATATGGCAGCCGGGAGACTTTTGCTCTTACAGGCAGTCCACCCCCTGCGCTGCCCTGCTCGGCAACAGCCGGCCTTAATGAGTCAGATTCCAGAAAGCGAAACAAGAGTTAAACAATGATTCAGTCAAAGTCGCAATCGAAAAAGTCTCCGATCCAAATAAAATCGAACGAAAACAATAGTTTTTCGCCTTGCGTCTCGAGAAATGCCCAGCGAAGACAATCAGTACACACCGACGTTGCAATGCCACAAGCAGAGGCCGCTTTCGCTTTTGTTCGCATATGAATTTATGACATGGAGCCGAGCCATGGACGTCCTGGAAGTTGCTTCTTCGGGCGGCCAAGGCAAAAGGCCTGGAGGCAAATCCGGGCGAAAATGACACCAGGCGTCGGCAGTACTGAGATCAGGAGCGAGTGATTTGCTCGCCATTCATGATGGCATCGGGCGAAAGGGCCACGGGCGAGACCGGGAGTGACATGGGTGGCAGCACAGAGAGGGGAAAACTGGAGCGAGCACTAGGACGACGACGACAACAACATGTACAACTACAGAAGTTACACCGACAGAGGAGTGCAGGAGCAGGAGGCAGGAGGCAGGCGGGAGCAGTTCCTCGAGCAGCACACGTTGCTTCGAGAGGACTGGGGGGAAGCCTGGAAGCCTGGAACAGGTCACTTTCGAAAGGCTTGCAGTGGACTTTTGCGCGAGGAGTGGGGTCGGAGGCGGGGGACGCTGCCCCACCAGCTGAACTTGCGGACAAAAAGCGGCGTTACGTAGATCTGCGGGGACGGAGGTGACTCTGACACGCCGCATAAATGCACAGGCGAGAATCCGTCGCGACGGCGATCGACCGGATAAATGCCGCGGGGGGACGTGGCAGGCGCGGAGTGGCGCAGACACTCGTGACCAAATCTAGCTACTTGGCGGGGTATACGTCGTCGTAAAGTGCTCCTTATCCTCGACTCCTACACTTTTGGCGAGGCGAGGGAAAAGCGAGAAATGATAAATGCGCAGCGAGAGTGCGAGAATCAATGAGAGCAGATCTAACGTCGAGCGCGACGCTCACACTCGACGAACAAGGGTGGCAGAAGGCGAAAGCGTGTGAATTCTCGCTGCAGCGCAGTGGACAGGACAGGACACCGAGGCTCGAATTATTAACTATGGCGCGGTTCGAGCATTAATGCCCCGAGCAGAGCATGGCGTATAACATGGGCCGTGTGAGCTGTGTACCACTGTCCCGCGACTGAATACACGGATTAGGGTTTGCCCCCCGCCCGATCCATCTTCAGCATTCGCGACATTTAACGGCAAATAAATTCCACACCCACGGGTCGCGCCGGCCCGGCCCGGCCCCGAGCCCGTGCCCGGGCGCGGCAGGCCAGGCGCTGTGGGAGCGTGTGTCTGTCTGCGTGCGAGCGAGCAGCCGTTGCTGTGGGCGTTGGGGAGCGGGGCAGCATATCGAGGGACCGGGTGGCATGCGGCACGGAGCGACGGAGGGAGGGAGGGAGGAGGAGAGAGAGAGAGAGAGACAGAGAGAGAAAGAGAAGGAGGGAAGCGCGGAAGGCAGTGGGCCGCAGCGGGAGGAGGGGGAGGGGGGGTGAGGGTGAAGTGGCAGGCAGGGATGGGGAAGGAAGGGAAGGGGATGGAAGGGGGAGGGGGGAGGTTGTTGATAATGGGGTAGATGATTGTGGGGGAGGAAGGGGATGATTGTGCAATCTCTGCGTTCGTGCATCAGCAGATGATGAACCTATGATGGTTGTGAAGGCTTGACAGGCTTTTGAAGCGGAACGGGCTTGAAAGTCGTAATATTTTGAGAGTTTCTTCCCCTTCCGTATTTTCGTGTAGCCCCTGGAGGACGATGCGTTCTCAATGACAAAATCCTGGCCTGTTTTCTGGAAAGCAGGCCCGTTGTCCTCCGGGGGTTATTGATCATCGCGTACCAGCAATCAATCATTTGGCCCCTCGGCGGCCCTCTCCGCCCGTCGGTTTGGTTGGGTGGGTCGGGTTGGTTGGACTCGAGCAAGCGAGAGCACTCACGACAGGATCGAGAAGGCAGGACTTTGCGATGAACTCTCTGGTGCAATGCTACTTGGCAGCAGTCTTTCTCTTGATTGCCTCTGCCAGAGCCTACTCGGGCGCCAGGGGTACTCCTCTGGACGACTACGTCCATAGAGCAGATCCGCAATACAGGTGCGTGGATCTGCCTCTCTCCCGCTTGACTTGACTGTCTCGGGCTTTGTTCTCGAGCCCCGCGAGCAGCGAACCGATTCGAGAATCGTGATGTTCCCTCACCTGAGCAGGATTTGCAATGGAGCCCCCGTCCTGTTGGGCCCAGTTTAGCCTTTGCACATGAGATAGTGTGAAGCGAATTATAATGCCAGTTCCGTGGTGCTCCCGCTCAGGTGGCATGACACCGGGAAAAGGTTGTCTGGAGCTCTTCCGTGGGAGAAATGGGAAGGGATTGTCCTGAACATGACGAGCCAGGCGTGGCTTTCGCCTGCAGATGTGGATTGTAATCTTTGGACTCACGACCTTGTCATTGTGGTAACGCCCGAGCCCCCATCGTTCTTGATAATTAACCGGTTACCTACCCTCCTCATTCTGCTGAGGCCGTGAGCACAATCCAAATCGTTGTGCCCATGAATAGAGCTCTTTATCTAGACAGTATTGCGAGGGTTTGTGAGGTGGTAGTCCAGGCAATGCAGGACTCGCCGCATTCTGTGCAAGGATCTGAGTGCTTCTGATCCCTTCAGGCCGTCAAACCGGCCCGTAATTGCAAATTCAATGCCAAGACGTGCAGATCTCCACATGTCTTGGAACGAGGGACCGTTGGTGGACGAGACTCTCTTTTCTCGAAAGACGAAGAATTGGCGTTTGTCATTGCTTTTGAAAGCTCTGATCTCTCTGCCATATGTGCTGGAAATAAGGTTGCTTGAAGAGCTATAGCGACAGTAGATCTCACTTCCCTGTCCGTGTATTTTTACAGAAACCTTGCAATTACGTGCACAAGAAAACCGCACTGCTTGTGATTGGCGATGGAAGTAACAAAGGCGTTGGACCGTCATCTTCGGACGAGCTCTTAGTTCTTGCTGCGACGTACGCTCTTCTGACTGGCCATGTTCTTTTATAGAGTCTTGGGTTGTGTATGCTGGCGACTACACATCTGTGTCTGTATCAGTACAACCTCCTCTTCTGGGACCCATGCCTTGTTGCCGAGCCCCCGGTTGGAGTGGATGTGGTCTTATTCGCTGGAATTTTGGACCGAGTTTTGTGTTGTGCAAATTGCCTAGCTTTTATCGCGTGGTAGGTTTTTTGCAGCAGCTGTTTACTACCCAAAATTTCCTTCTGCCGTGATGTTGTTGGTGTGTCAGCGGCGAGCAAGTTGTCGGATGAAATCTTGAGTGTTGTTTTCGATTTCATTCGGTAGAAATAAACTGATCACAGGACGATTGGAGATTGATTTTTTGGGTCGGTCAGGGTGGCAGTGAAGACAGGGAGCCTGGTTGTGGTTCTTTACCAAGTTCCGAACCAGCCTTGCACATTTACCTCAGAACATCCGTCACGCTCTCGTTCAGATGACGAGCTTATCGCATGTAACGCTCCTCCTGCCCACTTGCTTCCCTGAGCTCGGAATTTAAACTTGGAACGTACTTGTCGAGAAGATTGCGCTGAAGAGGAATAGATCTCGACGCTCGAAATCTTTTAGGTGAATGGAATCATGTGGTAAATATTGAATCTCTGTTGTTCAAACTTTATGAAAGGGATTGGCTGACAATTGCATGTCCTTCAAACACTGGTTCTCCAGATACGTGGTCGTTCTATCTGGACAATCCAGATAAAAACGACTGGCCGTTGCGGCTACCAATGACCAAAGCTGTCGTACGGGCCATGGACGCTGTACAGGCTTACGCAGAGAGCACAATGAAAATCCAGGTTAGTTCTCGTCTTTAACAACTCACAACTTCCACTAATCAACGAATGGTAGCTAGAGCTGTTTAATTTTTCCCCAGCTAGTATTAGCCGATTTAATGAAGTACTTCGATTGCTGTCGTCCCTTCATGATGCTTGCAAACTGGACTCATCTTTCTCTTGACGTTGCGGGCTCCGACTTATGGAGCCCGTATATGTTCAGCATGGATACGAAGGCTAAGTTTCAATGTTTAGAGGTGGCGGTTTGGCTGGTTTCGAAGCCTCCGTCGCGTTGAGAATAAGTGCGACACTTGTAGCCTTGTTATCGAGACTCCGAGCCTCAGTATGCCAGTTGGGAAGTGAACGGCTCAATTTATCTTACATGTTCGCTCGTCTTTGTAGATCGAGAACTTCGTCGTAACAGGGGCGAGTAAACGAGGATGGACAGCGTGGACTGCAGCTGCAGTTGATGATGTATAAACCTCTTGAAACTCTTCTGCTGTTGTGATTCGAGGCGATCTTGCTACTAGAGTGTGTGAGTCTTGCCCAGGGTAACACTTGGAATTCTGGTGATCGGGATGGGCTTCCGTCTGAGATGGCTAATTACTTCCGGTTGATTTTATCCCCGCTGTGGTAGTTTGTCTTAGCTTTGTGAGTGAAGCAGCTTCAGGGTCAACTTCGTTAGCTACAACGATGCTGCACTTACAACGTAAGACCATGCCTGAGGGAAGGGTTGAGAACATGGAGGACCTAACGTTGAGCTTTAAATTGTGGACGTTTGGTGTGTTTTCAGAGAGTTGTGGGAATTATTCCTATTGTTATGGACTTATTGAAAATGGTGCCCAACTTACATCACTTTTATCAATCGCTTGGAGGCTGGCCTGTTGCTTTCAAACCCTATTACGAAGCCAATATCACTGGCAGGCTCGATACCCCTGAATTCAGGAAGCTTTCGGTAAGATGAAGTTTCTAGCAGGCCATTATTATCGTCAGTGCAGTTTTGTTCTTTCTCTTTGTCGTGAGGCATCGCATTATTTAAGGTCACTATGGTATTCTTCTTCTGAGTGCAGTAAATTGTAAAATCCTGCAGGAAATCGTCGATCCCTACGTTTACAGAGATCGTCTTGGGGTGCCGAAGCTGATGATAACCACCTCCAACGATGAGTTCTTCTTGCTTGATGATAGGTACTACATTTCAAACGTTGAAGTGATCGCAGATTAACTATCCGTGTCCCTCTACGTACTTCTACAATGTTCGTTATACTCAATAATGGCTGTTTCCTAGTGCAAGAAGCCTTCAGTAACATTCGTCTGATTGTTACTGAAGACAAGGCGTGCGTGCAACATCTATGCTTTTACTTCTCGTTCAGGGTTTGAAGTAGACACAGAGCTCTTTCTTCGGGCTGTGCTGGAGTAATGGGTACATGCTTTTCAGTCTTAAAGCGTATGGAAGTAGCACAACCCGGCAATCAATGTAGTCCAATGATCAACAAGGAATCTCCTTGACATTTCTAACGAGGGACTATATCTTCACCTTAATTGTGAAGGGGAGCTTAATTACTGTAGTATACCAGCCTAGGTGCTCACCGAGCAACTGGCAGTCTGGGCCAGCCCCGCTATCTGAACTCGGATGTAAGGATTTTATATCTTTGCACTTTTTCTATGAAGACGGCGTACTTACTGGTTAGCAAACTGGGTGCAGCGCGTATTTCTGGGATGATTTACCAGGCGAGAAGCATGTCTTAATCTTAACGAATACCGAGCACACTCTGCTGACTGGTTTGTTGAAGGTATGGACGTGAACCTCCAAGTCTTCTGCTTTTCGCAAGCATTGCCAAAGGGTATATGATGGAGCTGGGTACTCAATTGTTTCTTGTTTTGCAGCTTCTGACAGGAGTTGAAGCCTTCTTTCTCAGCATAGCGGAGAGTCACGAGCTAAGTGCTCCTTCCAAAGACCTGGACAATGAGGAAGCAGCTTTGATTCAGCTGCCAGGCACAACTGCCAGCTGCCAGCCGCTAGACACAACTGTTACAGACAGGCAAAGGCCTGGGTACGGAGTCCGTCCCAAGTATTGGTATAATCTCAATCGAGATGGTGGAATAATAGAGATTGGAACAACGGAGAGACCCGAATTGGTTCTTATGTGGTATGCTTATACATACAAGGGAACGAAGGGAAGAGATTTCCGATGGTTTACATTAGACGATGGAAAGTGGTGAGTGTCGTTTTTTCGTGAATGAAGTATGGATTTTTGCTCGGATGCTTATGAGCAGTGAAAGGCAGTTAATGACGCTCTTGGGATTGACGACATTGTCTTGGTTGCAGCCCGACAGTGGCAGTTAAAAATATGTGCATCAAACCGGTTTACTTCAAGAGCCGTATCTTGAAACCTACTTCTTTATCCAACGAAGATGGCATGATGAACTACTATGCATCTTTGGATACCCGCAAGGTGAGATTCTGAGGAGGAAGAGTCGTGTTGTCGTCGGTCATCCAGTGCTGTTTCATATTTTGCCTCTGGTTACCATCTTCTTTGTACAACCAAGCTCTTTGGACACCAGCCTGATCTTCTTACGACACCAGCCTGATGTACTGTTTCTCTTCACTCTGTGTGTGGTATGGACGTTTCTGTTCTGACTTGATATGATTTTTGGACTTGACACAGGAGGGTTATGGAGCATTTTTTGTAGAGTTGAGATTTGCGGGTCCGAAGCCGCTTATGCCGTTTGTCTTCACTACACCAGCTGTAATTGTTCCAAATTACTTTCCTTACGACGACTGTCATGGAGGAAAATGTAGGGGAACACTGGTGTGACACGTCGCTTGATCATGCAATTGCGGAGATGGTTTAGCATATGTGCGGTCAATGCAACTGCTGGTACTGCTGATGCAAGGAACCGAATCTCAATATCCAGCGAGGCAGTCATTGACATAATGTTAAAAGAATTACAGAAGATTATTGTCTGATTGTCCTTGTGGTCAGAGTTGCTGCGAGTAGGGCAGATACACATTGATCAACTCGTTGAGGGGAAGCTCAAATTGCTGGAAGCGTGAGATTTGAGTTATGGGAATGTTGCAAGCTAGGGGTCCGAATCAGCATAAGCCTTCACCGGCTGGGGTTGATATGTTTCTGAAGTGCACAGGCTACTGCTCGTCTGCAGTGGTGCATTCCGCCGCCCTCTGCTTAGATCAAGCAGAGGTTGAGGTGGATTAGATTCTTTCAGAGAGAAAGTGGAGATTTAGTAGATAGTCAATTTTTGTGAAAGTTAAGCTATCAAAGGATGTGAAGATTTTATATGGAATACTCGCCTTCAAAGACATGGCGAGCCTTCTGGGGTCTGTTGTTTCAAAACATTCTCCTTCTGTTACAGTCAGAATTGAGGGACAACTTGCACTTCGGGGTATGTGAAGTAAATGTGTGATGAAATAAACTTTGTGGTAGAAGTTTAAAAGACCGACCTGAGTATCTCGTCTTGTCAAGGGGTATAGACTATACTCTGAAAGAAAATGGGCTATTGGACCTTCTACAGTGTGCATATGGCCATGAATATTGTCTAGTCGTGCTCTCGGCCCGAGTTCTTTTTGTGTATCTGGTCGGGTCTCGCTTATTCTGGTGAAAAGTGCATACTCACGCAGCTCAAAATTGTGTGTCGGATTAGGAAACAATGCCATTGAAACCTGGGAAGAAAATCACGAAGGATGTGGAGGCGGAAAGGATTTCTGAACATGAAAGAATTGTACTGCTACGCTGGCAGATAAATCTACGAAGCTTTCTCATGATACGTTTAAGAACCCGCAAGGAGGAGGATTAAGTTTTGAACTCGAGTTCTATTGTGCCGTTCGAACCTACCTAGTGCTTTGAGCACTAAGTAGGAAGTTCTTTTGGCTCTCTCCTGGGTTGGCGTTGGATTGCATTGTGTTTTTTAACCTTTTGACGGTTCCACAAAACAACCTTTTGGGGTTCCTTTTTCCATGGTTCACTTTTACGGTTGAAAGTATCCTTGATAACAATAAACAAGAGTAGGATTTATATGAAGTTGATAAAACATCATTTGAGACACAAAACAACCTTTTGGGGTTCCTTTTTCCATGGTTCACTTTTACGGTTGAAAGTATCCTTGATAACAATAAACAAGAGTAGGATTTATATGAAGTTGATAAAACATCATTTGAGACACTTGTCTCTCAAATAATATTGATAAATTACTCTTTGATACGTTCGCGTACGGCAATAGATAATATATAGGTTGCAAATCTCAATCCAATTCCGTCACATTTCACCTCAAAGATCAAGTCATCGCATCTGCAAACCACCTTTTGGGACGAGTGTCACGCAAAGTTTCAAGAGTAAGTCGAGAAGCATCAAAAGATCTCACTCTTTTGACGTAAGTGATAGTCAAAAAAAGAACATAAGTCTCAAGAGGTAAACAACTTGTTTCCGCAAGAAGAATAACATATGAAATTTGGGTACTCACATCCAATTCTTCTTGATAAAAGATCTTTTGTACTCTCTCCAAACGCTACCAATCTGTCTTCTTACAACCAGGACCCAACACTTGTGTTCCATATAAGATAACGGGAAACACTAAGCTCATGAATAAGAATTGTCTAAAACTCCAAGACACTAGATGAACTACTCTACATCTATTTAACAATGAATATAGAGCTTTGAAACCAACTTCTACCCTCTTTTGCACACAAAGTGCCCAACTATAATTAGAGTAGAAATCAATGCCTAAATATTTGTAACTTTTCACTTGTTCCAACTCCAATCCTTTGTAAAAGAAAGAAAGCTTGGATCTAATGCCCACAAGAATGACTTTGGACTTCTTCAAATTGAACTCCATCTGATTTTGAGTACAAAAGCTAGCCAAAGTGTCAAGGTGTTTCTGTAAATTAATGACATCACGTGCTAGTAATATGACATCATGTGCATACAAAAGAGCTTTGATGACAAAGTCTCCAAGTTTGACACCTTCGCTGTCACAATCCTCTAACCACATTTCTATATCATCTATGAAAACTCCAAAGAAAATAGGAGAGAGAGGGCAACCTTGAATGACTCCAATGGTACTCAAAATCTCTTCGTTTTGAGAAGTGTTGATCTTGGCCCGAACGGAGTGGTATAATGTGGCCACCGCTGCTAAAAGATGGTTTGCAATCTTTGCCATAAAAGCTCACGAGGTACTGTGTCAAAAGCTATCTTAAAATCAATGAAGGCACAAAACAAAGCTTTTCCATTACCCTTGGATTTCTCCCATAGAACATGCAAAAACAAGATATGATCTATAGTGTTGAATGTAGGACAAAAACCATCTTGGAACCGTGCTCTCTTCTAACAATATTCATCCCATGTGCTCAACTTTGACTCCATCAATTTGCCGAATAACTTGGCAAAAATATTACCCACCATGATAATCCGATAGTTTATCATCAAGGCCTTGCTCCCAGATTTGTGAATAGGAACAATTTTTCGTAGAGACCTAGTTGAAGGAAAGCCATGAATAGCAGCATTCTCTAACACTTTTGTGAGTATATCCCCACTTGAGAAGTTCAATGGAAAGACCATTCAAATCCTCACATTTATCATTTGTCTGAGTTGAGTCATCACTTCAGCTTCAAAAAATAAGCTTGGATTTCCTTCACAACGTGGCATTGATGCAACATTGGGAAAAAAATAAAGTTTTTCAGCAAAAGAAACCAAAGACTTGGAATCAAGAGTAGGTTTGGAAGATCGTACTGCCAATCGCATCCAAAAAGATTTGGGATTCTCCAATAGCTCCTTTGTCAAGCACTCTTGCTTCCGCCTCAAAAAAACTCGTTTCTTAGACTTCACCAAGTCTTTGTAAAGTCTTGTCATAATAAGCCTATTGTGAAGATCCAAGGATTTATCAAGTGATCTCATCCTCGCTTCCTTGCAATCAAAGTCAAACCATCAATTGCAAGGAAAACCTCTAGCTCGCATACTCTTAAGCCTCAAAAAAAACTTAGAAGCATAGTTTTTGAGCAACTCAGTTAGTTGTAAACTAGATGTATGTGGATCAAGGCTCCAAGTAGTAGGAGTCAAGAGTTCTTGTAAATGTTCACTATAAAGTTGCTTCTTACTTGCATCTAAACAAAACTTGGAGGAAGTAGAAACATAGTGACATGTAGAGAGAGGAATTGACTTTGACAACAAAAGAGTAAATAGAAGAGGTGTATGATTTGATTATGGTTGATGCTCTAGAATATCAAACGTTGAGATAAATGAACTATTAGTGGTAGAGGACAAAAGATAATCTATAGTGCTAATGTTGGTAGAGTAAAAACATGTCTTAGAGTGGGAGTTGGGAAAGAAAGAAATACCATTGAGAATTTTAAGATTACATGTGGCTCCAAATGTCAAGAAATGCTCAGTCAAATCATTCGTAGAAGTATCAGAATAGACTCTAGACCACAAACTATCTCTACTTTCTTCAAAAGAGGAAGAAGACAAGGAACTATCAAATTGTGTAAATTGAGCAGAACGTATGCGAGCATTGAAGTCTCCAACAATAAAAAATTCAACTTTTTCTTGATATTTGAGAACATCTCCTATGAGCCAATGGAATGGTTGACTTCGATTGCAAGTGCTTGTGGAAGAGATTTGCATGGATAATGGAGCAAAATAACAAACTATCAAATAATTGTAAGATATTCCAATCAATCCAAGACGAAGCCAATGATATTGTTTCTCAATATCTTGGATTTCCAAATGTATCATAGAAAGAGTTTCACATCTGATGAAAGTAGCAATGCCTCCAAAGCCTCTTCTTGCTCGTCGATTTCTATGATTCCAAGTAGATTCCACGAAAGTAAACCCTTGTATCTCTTCAATAGCATTATTCTCATGCTTCCAAGTCTCTACAATGTTGAGTATGTCCGCATCTCCCAAATTGGATGTGCACTCACATACTTTGTTGTAGATAGGCCTCTTATGTTCCACATCAACACCCTCAACTTCTTGGATTGCTAGGTTGATGATTGTCTTCTTCTCTTAGTGATGATAGCTTGACTATCACGTAGATAAGCTACAAAACCTACATCTTGAGGTTCTTTGACTTTTGCAAGCTACTTCCTCCTTGCTTCAACTTGAAGAGTTGTAAGATCTGTATCTAACCAAATCCTCCGTCCCTTGGGAATAACCTTGTTAGCTAAAGCAATATCACGTTGAGCTTGATCCACAAACTTAACAATAATGGCACGAGTTTGTGTTACTTTGTTGCCAATACGATAAACCTGAGCAAAATCCAAATTAGAAACATCATTGGAGACCAGTGAGTGATTCGGGACAACCTCAACCTCAACTTTAATAAATGAATTAGAGAAAAAAGAGAAGTCTAGAGGTGACATCAGAGGTCGTTTTCATACGTATGAGAACATCACATTACCAACATATACAATTTGCTATGATACATCTAAACTAAATATGATACTCAAACTAGAGAAAGGTATGTAGAGACATTGGGTCGCATAGATGCCTCCAAATTTCTTTAGTGCGGTATGATTTCACGCAAATTAAACTTACAGGTTAAGTGCTTTTTCTTAAGTCAGTTTTGTAGGTGTGGTTTCATTGGGTGAACACATTGCAAAGAAATCAAAATACTCTTGATTTCATGACTGTGTTGAGTTTGTAGGGTTGTGATGTTTTTATTGCTTGTGTGAGATGATGGTTTATAGGGAACTTTTTCGCAAGCGCGCATGTAGGGTAGTCTGTCCAGGCCATACAAATGGAGACTCTGATTTAGCCACATGATACTTCTTACGCGATTTGACCACTAGAGTGTACAATGTGGCTAATGTAGTAGAGCAACAAATGCTCTTCAATTATTGTATGTGGCTAAACTCATGGAATTCACTAATTACTATCGAGACAGTAAGACTAATGTACCTTTCATGAGTCTCTAGGTCATTTTTTTTTATCAAAATGAATTTTTTCCCAATTTTTTGTTGTCCTTGAAGTAAGCCTTGTACATTGTAAACCATATATATCTCATTAGACATGTTTTTCATTACTTGATTAGTCTAATATATACCTTCATCTTATACTTTGAAAAATCAAAATGATGAAATGCAAGACTTGTTTGATAGGTTATAATACTTTTCAATAATAGCTTATACAGAGATGATATTGGCTAACAACATTTGTACTTAGATCCAAGTATCCAATTAGCATTGATGAAAATACTATGAAATTGCTAAAAAAAAGAGATATCATTCAAAATTAATACACAAACTCTAATGATGAGAATTTTTATTAGGCAAAAAGTCTTTTATAATGTCAAAATTGTTACTTTCAACTTATCAACAAAACATGATAAATTAGTTATTAATAAATCCATCATGTTTCCAACACCTCTCTATCTATTACTCTAACTATTTTCTTGGAAGAATTACATTTGAGTTTATCATAATCTTCAACAATGCTTTCTTATATTTCAAATGTTTTACTTATAAAAATATATATCAATCTAACAAACACAAATAGATAAAAATTCTTATTTATCATATGTTTATTTTTAGTGGGATGATAACATGGATATATATTAAATAAATAAAAAATTAGCTAAATGATCATTCACACTAAACAGATTTTATCTCCATACTACAATCATACAAATTGTTTGTTTTAGTTGAAGA